TAATACAAATATTTAAACTTGTTACATGATTTAATATACCTTTTTATATGCAAGTTCCGTATTACTTTTGGATTTTATCAAATAGGTTAATAACAGATTTATCTGAATGAAATTTAGCTTCTAATATCATTTAAAAATTAAATATGTGAGATTCAAAATAATATTTATGTCAAATATAAAATTAATTAATAATAGATAAAATAATTTTTTATATTTAATTTATATATTTTTTATTTGTTTTGATAGAAAAAGATAAAATACCATTAACTTTTTTTTTATTAGAATAGGTGGTTCGAAAGAAAAGGGTGAAAAAAAAAAAATCAAACTTTTATCATGATAAAAAAAATTTATATTAAATTATTATATCATTGAGCTCACAAAATACCATTAACTTAAATACAAAAGTACTTCTACAATATTATGCCCCATTTTACTAAAAATATCTGCAGCTATGTTTGACTCACACATCACACGTGAGATCTTCCTATGGGAGATAAGCAGGAGGTCCCTGCAGTGAAATAAAGGTCATACAGCGGGTGTTTTTTAGCAGGATGCTTTTATTATACACTTGGGGCACAATTGTCTAAGTTAGCAGGATCATGTAGCATTAAACTGAGAACAAGCATGATGCATCACGCATGCAGTCAGGCAGCACCAACACGGGTGTTGTACAAGATAATTGTGTGGGTTGTCATTGTCACGATGACAGAAAGGAGCGAATCACATGCCATGTTAATTTCACAGGCAGGTAAGGAAATGGACGGACTGCGCCCCGTTGGTTGGTTTTGGAATCATAAATGGAATAGGATCATTCAATCGTGGGGAATATAACCTGCTTTCGGTGAGTGAATTTTTATTTTTAAATTTTCTTTAATTTATAAACAGTGCATGCCTGCTCAATTAAGAGCCGAGCTAGAGATAGCACCGCTCGGTTAACCGATTGTCCTCCTCGCTTTAGAACCTTGAACTATTCTCTTTATTGTTAATCAATAACTTCTGTCAATAGCCGGCAAGACACAAAGATTTCTCAATTTGAAACTACTATTGCTAATCACACCAAATTTTTATGTACCCAAAAAAATAAAAACACCAATAAAAGAATTCTCATTTGTAGGATGAACCGAGACAGCATCTCTGGTTTGAATTGAGTTTTAAAATAAAACATAATCTGAATTTCTAGATAATGATGATGATTCTGCAATAATCTCGTTCTTCACTCTTCAATGACAAATGCTTATTTCAATGGCATTGGGTCCTATTCACTCAAAACAATGAACATTGGGACCTAGCTGCAAATTTCCTTTCGCTTTGCTTCAACATAAACAGCCGAAATAAAATCATCCAGGGCTTTGATTGATGACCCTTTTTCATCTCCTTCCTCATTCATCGCCGCCTTTATCCGCTCTGCAACCTCCGTCGCCTTCTTCCTCATCTCCGCTCCTTTCCCCTTCTCCCCCATCACCGTTTCTATTACCTCCTTCACCTCCTCCCCTCTGATTTCACTCTGCAGCCCTCTCGTCAGCTCCACACTCACCGCCATTTCCTCCACCAACATCTTCGAATTGTATGCCTGCTCTGCTGCCATGGGCCACCCTATGATCGGCACTCCCTGGCTCAAGCTTTCCGTTACTGAATTCCACCCGCAATGACTCACAAATGCTCCGGTTGATTTGTGTGACAAAATATCCAACTGGGGCGCCCAGTTTTTCACCAACAAACCCTGTTTTTTCTCCCTTGTCCTCTCTTCGAATCCCTCCGGTAGCCATTCTGGTTTAAATTCGCCTCTCAGGTCGAAGCCCAGCGGAGGTCTTATGACCCAGATGAACAGAACACCGCTTTCTTCCAAACCAGAAGCTAACGCTTTCATCTGTGCTTGACTGATTGTGTTTTGTGATCCAAACGATATGTAAAGAACCGAATCAGGTTTCTGCAAATCAAGCCACTTGATACATTTTTCTACAGAGATCCCTGGTTGTTTGCCCGCTCGGTGTTGGTAAAAATACCCAGCCGAAGAAGATGACTTGTTTAACAGAGCCGAAGGAAGCAGAGGACCAATTGGCCAAACAGGGATTTTCATGTATTTTCTCAGCCATTCAAGTGCAATAGGCTCAATCTCTTCAACAGTGTTGCACAAACACCCGAATGACTGCAAAGATTTTGAAATCTGCGGCTGAAAAAATCTTGACCATGAATC